CTGAGTTACCTACTCCCTCCTCTCTGGTACTCTGTCCTGAAAATTCTGGCCACCTTGGTTTCTCTAAACCCCAATCTCTGTCTCCTTAACTCAACTCCTCAGCATGATGATCTTCCTGGCTCTCTGATGATCTTCCTTACTGTACCGTCACTTGGCAACTGCCTCTCAGGGACCACAGTCGTTTCATACATTGGACATTGTCTGATTTCTAGTTGTTTATGGCAGGAGGACAACTCCCTTAGTAGGTACTTCTTCATGAGCCGAAGAGGAGGTACCTATCATCATTTTATTAAATGAAATATATGTATTCATTGGTAAAAACACAAAGTTCAAAATAAAATTCTAATAAACTATGAAAATAAATATGGACAAAAACTTTTGAACCAATATTCCTAAACAGAAGTGGAAATTTACTTCAAGGGAATTTCAATATTTGCCAGACTTGAAAAATTTAGATTAATCTTTCTACATTGAAAGAAATACCAAAGCACGAGGTTGAATCTTAAAATTGTTTGAATAGACTTTTTTTTTTAATCTTCACCTGAGGATATTTTTTTCCCATTGATTTTTTAAAAAAAGAGTGGAAGGGAGGGGGAGAGACAGAGAGAGAGAGAAACATCAATGTGAGAGAGACACATTAATTGGTTGCCTCCCACACACACCCCAACCAGGGGCTGGGATAGAGCCTGAAACAGAGGTACGTGCCCTTGATCGGAATTGAACCTCAACCCTTCTGTCCTCGGGTTGACACTCTAACCATTGAGCAATCCAGCTAGGGCTAAATAGACATTTTTGCTTCCAAGAGTCTAAAGTTGCCTAATAGCAAGAGATTTGCTATAGTCTTCATGAGGTTATCTGAAATTCAGACATAGGAAAATTAGCATTATTCACTACTCAGATATGCAGAAATGACATTGCATCCTTGTACTTGCTAAAAACTTGGATAAACTATTTCAGAAGGGATCAGGTCCTTATTTTTTTACAAAGTGACTTCAGTTTTAGATATATTTTGCTGGAACTCTGCTCTTCTATGCTACCTCCCAGAAGAGTTATTTCCTCTTGATAATGCTATAATATGTACATGATGTTCTAAGGAAGTTGTCTGCAGGAGAATAATATAGTAGAGGCTCCACTGAATAGGAGTCTGGTACTTGGCATTCTACTTGAAAAAATGGGGCTTAATACTTACTTTTGAAACCCTGCCTCTGAATGTTTTTGCTCATTTTGGATTAAAATTGGGGACTGATACATTCTGGAACTGAAAAATATTCTCAAGTTTCCTGGAAGAAACTGAGAATATATTAAAGCTATTTAACCAAAGATTTTAGTATCACCTAGACACAAATGTTGCATTTGCTCTTTAAGAAATCAGAAAGTGTCTGATTAAGAAGCATAGCAAGAAATATCCAGCATAAAATCTAGGTCATGTTTATGGCACAGGAGAAACAGGGAGAACTTGGAGGTGCTCCCTCTCAACAGCTGGATGAATCAATGGCAGCTGCTATAAGAAAGATAAAGAAACCCACATCTGCTTAGAGTCCACATGCTATATGAATCCCTTGTGATAGTAAATAAATTCTTGAAGAGGCCCCACTTCTAAAGCAGGAAGAGAATTGAGGACATTTAAAAACTGTTTTCCATAGTTACCTCCATGTACTATTTCATAGAAACCAGCTGTCTATATGCACCATTGTTCAATATAGAGAGTATTCAATACATATTTGCTAACTGATTAAGGGACTGGGAAGGATTGGGAAAGACAGGCTCTGTTGAAACAGTACAAACTCCACCTATCCATTCACAGCTCCCAGTTTTGTTTATTTTGAGACCAACTGCTTAATTTTTCTGAGGTAGTTCACTTAAAATTGGGTCACACTGATTTTTGCCTACTAGTACATATATTCTGTAAAGGAGATGATGCTATTCTCAGCACACTAAGATTGTTTGCACAAGAATGTAAATGAGATAGATTGTCTCTAGAGAGTGCATGTCACAGAAGCCGTATGTGATTGGAGTAGCAGAAATAGTAGAAATAGCACATTAGCAAATTAGTAAACATGAGTTCTGTTTCTAACTTTGCTACCAATCCACTGTGCAATTATACAAGTTACATAATTTCATTGTTTATAAAATGGGCACAATAATACCTATCTTCCTTATTTCTTAGGATAGTAGAAATGGTCTAATAAGACACTAAGTAGAAGGAGTTTTAGAAAAAAAAAATTCCGTAGCTAAATATAAAGTAGCAGTAGCATCCATTAGAGCAGGATGGGGGATCTTATATACTCAATGGAAGCAGGGAGTGTTCACTCTAACCACAGTGCCAGGCACATGGTAAGTCTACCAGAAATAATTCATTGAATGAATGAGGAAATAGCTTAGGCCTTCCTCTACTTTAAGTTACAATCATTAAAGAAACTATGTTAAAAGTATTCAATAGTAATTTGAAATAACACACAATATGAAGGTGGGATACAAACAGGCCCTTAACCAGTTAACTGCCACAATATTTTGAATTTAATTTAAAAAGGCCCGCTGCTTGCGTCTATAGATGCTTATAGTGTACAAATGGTTAAAAACAGATGTGAACCAAGGTTTTGATGTAGAGATTCTAAATCAGAAAATTTTGGAGCAATTTAATGTTTCAATGTTCTGAATGTGAGAATCTAATTCCATTTTTAAAAAGAAGCTGTCAGTGTCAGTGGGTACCTTTTGCCTTTCATCTCACCAAGATCTTTAAAATCTCGAAGGCATTTTCAATCAGTGTTTTCCTTAATATTTTCTTTAGAATATAATCAGAATATGCCAAACCAACAGTATGCAAATACAAAAATGATTTGCATTTTCCCATGTACATAGCTCTTCTCTCAAGGATTTGTAAGGTGAAATGAAAAATTGACTTTAGTCAACTTTATTCTATTTCCCAAAATCTATATTTCTAGAACCTGACCTATATTTCCTGTTGCTTACTGAAGTTTTTTAACTGTGTTTCAAAGAAATATAAACTTTAAAAAAACTTACATCACATTAGACAAAATGTGAAAGCAACCCACATATCCATCAATGGATGAATAAACAAATAATATGTATACACATACAATGGAGTATTACTTAACCCTAAAAAGGAAGGAAATTCTGACACTTGCCACTACATGCATGAACTCTGAGGATGTTATGTTAAATGAAATAAGTCATTCACAAGAGGATAAATATAGTATGATTCCATTAGTATGCGATACCTCGTGTAGTCCAATTCAGAGAGATAGAAAGTAGAACAGTAGCTGCCAGGGGTTGCGGGAAAGGGAAAATGGAGAGTTAGTGCTTAATGGGTAGAGAGGTTCAGTTTGGGAAGATGAAAAAGTTGTGGAGATGGATGGTTGGGATGGTGTCAGAACTATATGAGTGCACTTAATGCTTCAGAACTATACACTTACCCGGAAATTTGTAACTGTTTTCCCACTACAAGTCTGCCAACTATGCTCCTGGCTTCTAGTCTCACCCCCTAAGCCATTTCCATGCTGTCTCTAGAATGCTCTTTCTAGAACTCATATCACCACATCACTCTTCCATAATCCTTCAAATAGAGCCTATATGAAATACAACTTTTTTTTTTAATATATTTTATTGATTTTTTACAGAGAGGAAGGGAGAGAGATAGAGAGTTAGAAACATCGATGAGAGAGAAACATCGATCAGCTGCCTCCTGCACATCTCCCACTGGGGATATGCCCGCAACCCAGGTACATGCCCTTGACCGGAATCGAACCTGGGACCTTTCAGTCTGCAGGCCGACGCTCTATCCACTGAGCCAAACCGGTTTCGGCCAACTTTTTTTTTATGGCAAAAAATGTCTTTCAGTACCGTCTTTCTTTTATTCCATTTATGCGCCTACACCACAGCACATGCTCTGCCTACTAGTAGAATGCCTTTCTCTCTTTTATCCATGTGTACAACTTCTACTCACTCTTCCTTCCCAACTGAGATCAAACAGCCATTTCTGAGGAGAACCTTCTCTAATCCACTCTCTCCATCCTCTGACAATAGTATCCCCATCCCCCCCCCCACCCAGGAGTTTATTTGCAGTCACATCTTTCCTTGAATTTACCGCATGGCATTGTTTTGATGTTAATCCCGAGGATATTTTTCCACTGGTTTTTAGAGAAAGTGGAAGGGAGGGGGAGAGACACTGAAAGAACCATCAAATGTGAGAGACACACACTGGTTGGTTGCCTCCCACACACACCCGACCAGGGCCTCGATTGAGCCTGAAACCGTGGTACATGCCCTTGACTGGAATCGAACCCAGGACCTTTCAGTCCTTGGGCTGACGTTCTATGCACTGAGCCAAACTGGTTAGGGCGACTGCATGGTATTTTAATATTTGTCAAAAGCAAAGGCTCTGGAGCCAGATGGACTGGGTATGAATCCAGCCCCAGCATTTATTGTTTAACCTTGCCAAGTTACTTAACCCCTCTGATCCTCAGTTTTATTAGTCATAAAATGGAGTTTACAGTATCTACCACAGAGAGATGTTATAAAGAGTAAGTGAATTACTGCACGTAAAGTGCACAGAGCTTCACTTGGCTCTTAATACACTCATCAGTGATGGTGGTAGTAACGGAGGTGTATTTCTGACACAAGAGGAATAGCTCCTCAAAAGTAAGGTGGGCCTATAACCTTGAATAGCATGAGACCAAACAGTATTTTTTTTTTAAATATATTTTTATTGATTTTAGAAGAAGGGAGAGGAAGAGATAGAAACATCAATGATGAGAGAGAATCATTGACTGGCTGCCTCCCGTATGCCCCCTACTGGCGATTAAGCCTGCAACCTGGGCATATGCCCCTGATCCAAGTCAAACCCGGGACCCTTTAGTCAGCAGGCCGACGCTTTATCCACTGAGGCAAACTGGCTAGTACCCAAACAGTATTTATAGGAACAAAAAAGAGATAAAAGTTTGGTAGGAAGAAAAGGGAAGAAAGAATTTGGGAAGACTTACCGCCATTTTTGCCCACAGTTCGGAAGCATCTCCAGAAGGCCCGTAGGAATGATGCCCTGTTGTGAGGGGTGGCTTGGACGAAGCTGAATTCCCGAAAGAGAATGTGAGTTCCCTGACATACACTGTTAAAGCTGCAAAGAGAAGAATCAAGAAATCATCGTTAGATGGACAGTTATGGAAGGTTGAAATCAGAATGAAAAAGCAAGACCAGACAGAAGCACTGCCAAAAAGGGAAAAAGGATTTTTTTCTCCAACAAGACTCTGAACTATAAATTAGACCAAGTCCTTCTAGAAGGAAGTCGCTTCACATAACCATATCCCTCTGAAAACTGTTTCAGTCCAGTTCCTCTGAGTACTTCCCCCCTTCCCACATACACACCCTGAGGAAATTTTAGGAGTCACTGGAGCATCTCACATAGAAGGAAATCTTTCAGTCTTTAATTGGCTGACATTGGCACTCATACTTTTTGGAGAATACGCCTCTCCCTACCTTTTTTGGAATTATGTTTCCTTAAAGATATTCTTTCTGTACTCTCTGACCTCTATCAGCTGCCATATATGAACAACATAGCTTATGGGACATAACCAGCTTGTCTGTTCCAGTTTAGGGGTGGTGTTACATACTTCTCTGACAATAACCTCAGAGGAAAATCCATGTGCCAAAGGATATAAAAGGTTCCAAACAGAACACTAAAAGCAAATAAGAAGAACAAGGGTAGAAAGTGGCCCCTAAATTAAAGTATGAAGCAAAACCCCAGAGCCCAAGTGAGTCATTGTTTAAGCTGGGCTGGGGAAGGGGAAAAAATATACTCCATTGCCTTTGGGTTCTTTTGCCAAAGAAGTAAAGGCTGTAGAGCCTGGCGTAATCTAAAAATTGAAATTCCACCAAAGAATAGGCAATTATCCAGTAATCAACACTACCTAAGGCAGACTTCGGCTTCCAGAAAACTCCTAAATTCCCTGACAAGTAAATCATGAGTGGGAAATGTGTTCATGTTACAGAGAAGCAGGCATTACAATGAAGATGGCAAGTAACAGAGGGACAATGGTAATTCCAAATGCCACTTTTCATTTGTTGACTAACGAGAGAAAAAAATTCTGAACCTCTGAATTGAACAGGAAAAAATTTCAGGAGCCATCTGTTCCATTTTTCTTTTCCCTGACCAAGTTCAGAGGGGAGTGTCTAACCTGTCTGTAACGTATAGTATGTTAAAGGATAAAATTAACCTCTTCCTGTGACTATTAACAGTGCTATATAAAAAGGCTAATTACACGCTCTTCTTCCCTCTTAGAAAAGTAGCATAGAAATCTGATTCTAAGACACTATGAGAAAGTATGAGGAAAATACCTGGCAAAGAATTAGGTTAGATGAGAGATGTTTAAAAAGCAATGAAAGTGTTAAACTAAGCATACAGTTTGTGGCAGTGCTATTTATTGTCTTGAGCAAAGGAAAATGAAAAAGAAAGCAAATGAACTGTTATAGATAAATGGAGTAGGCCACACTTCTAGCAAATGAAGTCTAAAATGAGAACATTCTAGACTAAATTTATGAAGCTATCCAGCAAAGACTTAGTCCCAAAGTGTGCTTCATATCCCACAAGGGTAAAATGCTGGTCTCTAGATCATGATCTTGGTTGTAAAGGAACTAGTTATAGTGAAGTTATATCCTTAATGTAACTTTCAAGAATATATTTTAAAAAAACACTAAAGAGTAATATATGAATTAAAGAATCTGGCTGAGCCTCATTATACAGATAAGTACAAATTTATAAAAAATTATAACATAGGAATTTTATAAAACAACTTGATAGGGCAAGGGCTTATAATATTGAATATGAAAAGATTTACAGTTTTATTTACACTACTGCCTTTAGGTAATCCATACTGATAAAATTCACATTTAACTAAAAATAAAAATAATTAGAAACATCTGATTATGGTGGCAACTGGTCAGTATGGGGATCATAATCACTTTACTTAAAGAATAGATGATCAATATGATCAGTGAAAATTCTTTTAGATAAGATGGCTCTAAGGAAAGAGCAGAAAATGCAATATTGCTCAAAACTTTTCTGGCTCTCTTCAATTTGAAGTATCTTTTTTCTGTCTCCATCTGCTAAAACTCTAATCTTTCCAGACCATCTGCCATATTTTACATAAAGTCTTTTCATGATTCCATCCCCATGCTCAATTCCCAGCATATCTCACTTTTAACTCTCTAATAGAACTCACAATTTGCTGCCTTGTTTTAAAGTTATTAGACTTATTTCTCCTACTAGATTATAAGTTCTATGGAGTAAGCAATTAGGTTGTATTTAATAAGTATCTTCTGGGGAAATATTTTGAGGCTGTGGAAATCTACAGTCAACTTTCAAACTTTCATTTACTAGTTTCACTAGCTATTGATTCAGTATCTAATAATTCTTGCTAGAAGCAATAACAATTTTGCTGGGTTTGCCAAATAGCTATTTCCCCCTAGTTACGTCATTTCATCTACATTTATAATTTGACTTTCTATGGTAAAGAAGAGCTTACCTTTCTCATCCATTCATTATTTATTTACATTAGTCTGGATTCATGGATTCTTACTTTATTCAATAGGCTATAATCCTTTATTATCATTATTTATTTTGTTGCTCAAATTGTCCCAGATTTGGCTGTGGGAGCTCCTTCAAGCTGACTTCCGTCCTTTTGACTTATCTACACAATTCTTTGGGTACTTGCTTTCTTTTTGATAGAATAAGATGTTCCAGGCCCATCTTGTTCTTTCTCTAAACCATCTTGGAACCAGTCATTTATCCAAGAAGCCCAGGTTGCTTTTAGTAAAAAACAGTGTTTAAAAACCAAGATCTAGGTAGGTGCTGGGTGTGCTTTTTGCTCCAAATGTGTCATTGCTTCTAGGCTCTCTCAGAAGACAGTTAAGAAACAGATGAAGGTCTATATACACACGTTCTACACAAATGTGCACATGTGCACAAACACACACATACTTATTTTCATTTCTATATGTCTAGCTATTTACATATATTAAAACCCATGAGTCCACACTGATTCAATTCCAATATATTGCTACAAGGTACCCTCTATTCTTTCCCTTTTATATATGAAACTTCCTCTTCTCACAGAGAAATCCAGCTCCCATTATCCATAATATATATTTACTTATTTGCTCAATCCTAAAATGTACAGCAATTGCTAATCCATGCCTCTGTGTAAAAGCAACCTCCTAATTCTAGTTCAACACTTATTTAGAGTTCTTTTTGTTTTTAGCCCAAGGGAGGGCAAATAGTCCAAATACTGTGTTCAAAAGGTACTTAGTCTCACCCTGGCCGGTGTGCTCAGTGGTTTGTGTTGGCCTGCTCACTGAGAGGTCGCAGGTTTGATTCCTGGCTGGCTCTGAAGGAGACGCATGCAGGAGGCAACCAATCTATATGTCTCTTATATTGATGTTTTCCTCTCTCTCTGCTCCTTCCTCCCTCCCTTCCACTCTCTAAAAAGCAATGGAAAAAATATCCTTGGATGAGGATTAAACAAACAAACAAAAACATTACTTAATCTTCCCCAATTCCCTTCAGTATGTTTAATTTATTCATTTGAAATATAGTTTGCTTCATTTGTTTGTCTGTATTCCATTTTAGGGCCCCTCATCCTTGATAATTATATACATAGCTATCTTGCCTATGTGAAATATTAACATAGTTCCAAAAGTAAGTGTCACCTTCCCTCCACACTTTTACTTGTTCACCCCATTTACAATAATGCCCTGTAAGTAATGAATCTCACTGGTTTCTGATTCATTCTTCCCGTGTGTATCTTTTTCTCACATGAGCAGAGGCATGTACATATTTTTATTTCTTCTTCTTTCTTTTTTTTTTTTTTAAATTAAATCTTTATTGTTCAGATTATTACATTGGTTCCTCTTTTTCCCCCCCATAACTCCCCTCCTCCCAGTTCCCGCCCCACCATCCGCCCTCACTCCCCACCCACTGTCCTCATCCATAGGTGCACGATTTTTGTCCAGTCTCTTCCCGCATCTCCCACACCCCTTTCCCCCCCAAGAATAGTCAGTCCATTCCCTTTCTATGTCCCTGATTCTATTATAATCACCAGTTCATTCTGTTCATCAGATTATTTATTCACTTGATTCTTAGATTCACTTGTTGATAGATGCATATTTGTTGTTCATAATTTGTATCTTTACCTTTTTCTTCCTCTTCCTCTTCTTAAAGGATACCTTTCAGCATTTCATATAATCCTGGTTTGGTGGTGATGAGCTCCTTTAGCTTTTCCTTATCTGTGAAGCTCTTTATCTGACCTTCAATTCTGAATGATAGCTTTGCTGGATAAAGTATCTTGGTTGTAGTTTCTTGGTATTCATCACTTTGAATATTTCTTGCCACTCCCTTCTGGCCTGCAAAGTTTCTGTTGAGAAATCAGCTGACAGTCGTATGGGCATTCCCTTGTAGGTAACTGAGTTTCTTTCTCTTGCTGCTCTTAACAGTCTCTCTTTGTCTTTTGCTCTTGGCATTTCAATTATGATGTGTCTTGGTGTGGTCCTCTTTGGATTCCTTTTGTTTGGGGTTCTCCGCGCTTCTTGGACCTGTAAGTCCATTTCTTTCACCAGGTGGGGGAAGTTTTCTGTCATTATTTCTTCAAATAGGTTTTCAATATCTTGGTCTCTCTCATCTTCTGGCACCCCTATAATTCTGATGTTGGTATGCTTGAAGCTGTCCCAGAGGCTCCTTACACTATCCTTGCATTTTTCGATTCTTTTTTCATTCTGCCCCTCCGGTTGGGTGTTTTTTGCTTCCTCGCCTTTCAAATCATTGACTTGATTCTTGCGCTCCTCTGGTCTGCTGTCGGGAGTCTGTATAATATTCGTTATTTCAGTCCGTGTATGCTTAATTTCTAGTTGGTTCCCCAATATAACATCGAGGGTCTCATTAGTTTTCTTGTAGATCTCATTAAGTTTATCGGCGGCTTCTAAACAGTTCTTGAGAGACCTTAAAAGTGTGGTTCTGAACTCTATATCTTCCATTGACAATTTTGTCCTGTTTCTTTGTCTCCGCATTTTGTTATGCTTTCTTGGTGCACCCCCTAGTGGTCTTTGTGCGCAGTCTTGTAGTTAAGC